TTATTTTAAAACGGGGAGGAAAAACCCAAGAGAGAGCACGCGTGGCTGGGTGAGAGGCAAAGCTGAGCAGGCATTCCAGCTCTCCCGCAGTGCCGACTGCTGCCATGTGCTTGTCTCAGCCCTGTGCCGCCCTCCCCAGGGACAGTGGGAGGAGGCTGGAGCGATCCCTCTGCTCATCCCTGCCGTGGCCGGCTGGTTTCATCCGTGTTAGGCTCCTGTCCCAGCCAAAATACCCCGACCCCACTTCTCCTTCACCGGTGTGAAGCCGGGCGGTCTCAGCTGAGAGTGGGCCTGGAGAGGAGCTGTTCTCGCTTCACGTTTCTTTATCCTTGAAGAGCTCTGGATGAACGCCGAGGATGACAGACCGTCCACCCGGTGCCACGCACGGTTGAAAGCTGCCACCCGGGTGCCCAGCGTTTCGGTGGTGGAGTTTCCCTTGTGCTCGGCGCAGCTCAAAGAAACGCTTGAATCGGCTGATGAACCGCGTGGCGATGCTGAGACGGAGTCAAGGTTAGGATACGATAGTCCCCACCTGTAACAGCGGTGACAACGCGATGAATATTTATAGCGAAGGGTGCGTCTGCGTCTCACCGAGGGCCCCGTCTTTGCTCGGGGGGAAGCAGCAGCAGCAAGTTCTGAGGTCAGGTCATGGGGCAGAGGAGACGGCACACGGCTTTGTACGGGAGCGAGCAGGTAAGGGGGATGTTGTCCCAGAGCGTTTGATGTCACCTGCCGTCTGGTGTGATGACCGCTTTGTTTTCTCTTGGCAAAATGGTCTTTATTTAAAAAAAAAAAAAAAACAGACACAAACCTGGCACCTTTTTTGCATAAAATTAGCTGTCTTGGGTCATTTGAGCCTTGGATCTTCTTTCTGAGAGGGGCTAGGAGCAAGGTGGTGGAAAATGATGGGTTACTGAGCAGTCCTCCCGGACCTCCCTGTGCTGAAGTGTCTCCTGAGCTGGAGACAGTACCCGCGCTGTTGGGTTTAAGAACCCCAGTCCTCCAAGAATTCATCTAGTGACTTTTTAAAGGCACTTTATGCTTCTGGCTTCCCCACACCCTCTGGCCGCAGCCTCCACGGCCGATGCGTAGCATGAGGAAAGTCCTCAGGCGGTAAAAATACATGTCAAGGTGATAAGCTGCCTCGAGGAGCGGGGACCCGGGGAGAAGCTGTTGAGCTCCAAGGGCGAGAGACACGGTCTTGGCTCCTTACGAGTGCTCCAGCATCCTGCCGGGGGAAGAGATGCCGTGGAGGTTTTTTTGCCGCTGCTTCTTCATGTGAGAATGCAGGAGCCATCTTTTTCCTAACTGAGGGTTAAGGCACGCAAGGCTCAGACTTTCCGTGAGCAGCAACTTGATCATGTGGCTCTATTTGTTGAATGAGGGTTGGTTTTCTGGGTGTCTCTCTTTTCACCGGTGTCAAATATAAACCATATATTTTATCTAATGCAAGGAGCAGCTGCCCCTTGGGTGAAGCCAGGTTGGACAGTGCAGAGTGATGTTGCCCAGTACTTCAAGACGAGGAGTAAATATTGTTGCAGCTGTGGAGATTACAGGAGGGATGTTTAATTCGGCAAAGATAAATGAGTCAACCCGAGCCCGGGGTGGTGGAGCTGAGTTATCCTGCCCGTAGCTGCCTGGTGAAGAGAAGGTCGTTAAGTTACGTGCAGGGTTAGAGCTGCGCAACGGGCTCGTGGCCAGCGAGGGGAAGACGAGCGACCAAAGTAGAAGCGTGCGCAGCTGCTGGATGGAGCAAGAGTCGGGGAAGACTTCTCAGCTTGCCTTATGCTCTCTCCTTCGCTGGAGCCTGTGCCCTGCTGAACGGGGAGCTTGCTTTGATGTCTCCTTTCCCAGTTGCCGGTGCCCGGAATAGCCAGAAGAACACGAGAAGGGGGCGGCTGGAGTCCTACCTCGCGGGTGAGGGTGACAAACTGGCACCGATACCTGCGGGCCCTCGGCCGCGGCGGCTGGGAGCAGCTCGGGTCCGGCGCCTCAGCCGGAAAGATGCTGACGCTGCTGAAAGTGCTGCGACGCAGGGCTGAGCCGGCAGGACAGGTTGGACTGCGGAAGGGACGTGCCGTGCAACGACGGCCTCATCGCTAATGGCGCAGGACGCTTGGCGTTCGGCTGCCATAGTGTCCCCTGAGCGGGGTGCGGCGCTGACGGGGGGAGCTGGTGGTTCCTGGCTTGCTGCGCGTCCAGGTGGGACGATGAAGAGGGCAAAGGCACGAGCGGTGCGTCAGCAGAGCCTGCTCAGCCCGAGAACCCAAACCGCACTGTAGCAGGACCAAAGCAACCTGCATGTCGCTTTTCCTGCTGCTTTGTAGCCTTTAAATTCCATTTTCAGTGGGGATCTCAATACTTAGACGGGTTTGCTGCCACGCATCTTCGCTTGCTTCTTAACTGGAATGGCATGTGCATCTCTCCCTCTGTTTTGGGGGTGAAGGGGGGCTTGGGGACCACCTGGGTGTAACGGACCCACAAACTGGGGGCTGAAGAACCTCCTAGTCCATCCTTTCTACCCCGATGCGGGATCAAGTCTAGCAACATCGCTCCTGACAGACGTGCTTAGGCTAGACAGGTATGTGCCGCCCGGTTCTGACTGCTTAGGAAATAATTTGGCTGCTTTCCTCTAGCTAACGAGCGTGCGTCTCTTGTGAGCAGGGCACGCTGGGCTCCCGTTGGGCAGAGCCGCAGGCAGCGAGGGCTCCTGCTGGGATTTTGGTTTATTTTCCTTCTGGGAAACGCGGACCACCAGACTGAAGGGGAGTCAGAGCGATAGGATGCTGCCGGCTTCCCTGGAAAATCTCCTTTTCTTTGCGCTGTGGCTGGATCCTGCTTGGGGAGTGAAGGTCCCTGCGCTCACCGAAACGGTGACGGTGGCAGTTCTTGGGACGCGGCGCGCCCATCAAGCTCTCTCTGCGCGGGCGGGAGGCCCGGCAGATACCGGGGCTGTCCGGCGCATCCCTAAACCTCTCGCGGAAGGCGGGGAGGTAAGACGAAGGGCTCGTGCCGCTCCGTGCATGCGATGGCTCTGCAGTATCCCACCCACCTCCCGTCATCTGTTCTGGCTTCCCTTCTCTCTCCCCCCCCGTTGCTATTTATCCCAAATGCCATTTTTATCTCTCTTCATGCTCTGACTATACATCCGAGCTCTGGGCAAGAGGCTGGTAATTTCCATACAGATTATAACATAAAAAGAAACATTCAAAAGCTTCCAGAAACGCATCAGACCTGCAGCGTCTCCGATGGCACAGCCTGCTGCTAAGTTTAGAAAATAAAAAATTAAAAAAAAAAAAAAGATCTTTCTAACGTGGTCATTTTGACAGGGAAAATGCTGGAAATGGAAGTGAAGGCTGTTCAGGCGGCGCAGAACGTCCTCCTGGTTCGGTACCGCTCTGAAGCCTGGTGGTGTAGCGTGAAGCGAGGTGGTGTAGCACGAGATGAGCTTTTTGACCCCGGTATTTTCATGCCTAGCTTTACGTTCGGTACGTATTCATTACTTGTAGGAAATGCCAGGCGCTCACCGCTCCTCGCTTCTAACTCACAGCTCAGACCCAGCGTCTCTGAAGAGGGACACCCGACAGCGCTCTGCGTTTTGCAGAGCCTTTCCCCCCGAAAAAAGAGCTCCTTTTGCCCCTGCGTTGTAATTTTGGTTCAGAGCGGGGTCCGTGCTGTACCCCCCGGCCGCGCAGCCGGACTTGCTCTCCGTGGTGGCACGCAGCACCGGGCGACGCACGCTCCTCTTCCAAAGGCACGAGTCCATTCTCGTTAGCCTCGCGATTCATGGAGGCAAAGCCGAAAGCCCCAGACAGATTTTAGTGTTTTCCTTTTTTTTTTCCTCCTTTCGAAGAGCACGTCGCCCGTCAGTTCCCATTATACTCCGGGCTGGCACCCTTTGGACAATATACCACACGTTCGGCTGCCTAAATGGGCTTTTGAAAACCTGTGCTCGACCCCTCCCGTCGCAGGCTGGGGCGTCACGCGTGGTTTTTGGGAGCGAAGCTGCTGTGGGCAGCCCCCCGCCGCGCTCTTGTCCGTCTCTGAAGCCGCCCCTGCGTAAGCACAGCACCTGGTGAATATTGCCAGCTAATGCTTTGCTTTGGGGGGGCGGGGAAAAAGCAAAATTAAATTAATTGAGGTGTTGAGAGGGCTTATGTGCTGTTTCCAGGGAAATAGAGATTCAGGGGGAAAAGGATACGGAGCTTTACGGTGACAGGGGATGGGAAGCCGAAGCTTGCGTTTCATGAAAGCAAAAAAACCAAAAAAGTGGGTGAATTTGGAGCTGGCTCCGCGGAGGCGTTGTGTTACGGGAGATCTCACCTGCGCCCCGGCTCTGGTAACGCTGCGCCGGGAATTCGATCGGTCCTCGCCCCGGCGAGGCGTTGGGAGTTCAAAGGAGGAGCTGGGCTATATGGAGCCGCTGGTGCGCCGCTGGCTGGGGCGTCGTGTCTTGTCTTTCCTCCTCCTCTTCCTCGTCAGGCTCCAGGTCTCGGTGGCAGGATTTGACACCGAGGGCTCGAGGCTGTGGCTCGCGGGACGCTGGAAGGGTTTTTGTCTGCGGCCTGGGAAGCGTGAGTAAAGAAAGCAAGACTCCGGAGGTTTTATTTTTGGACGGAGACCCCCAGAAACTGTGGGTTGGAAAATCACCGCCCAGAGCGTGGGTTTGGGAGCGCTCTGTCAGCAGGACGGGCTGGGGAGCGGGGATCTGTGGGTGCTTTTTGGTTCTGGCAACGTTTTGCCATAAATTGAAGTCGATTCACTGCTCTGGGACAAAATGAGGGCTCTCGCAATGAAAGCGGAGAAACTTTTCTCCTCTAAAGAAATCTTTCCCAACCGCTCCTAAAAGCTCCGGCTGCCTCCGTGGTTCCCCGCGAGCGGCTCTTCCGCTCCCCGATGCCAAACCCAGGATCGCTGCGCGGTCGTGCGGCTGGCTGCGCCCTTCTCTCGGGCGGAGGATGGCGAGGGTGCTCTCCTTCGCTTCCTCCTGGTGGAGCAGTAGCTGGCAAACCAGCGTTGCCGTGCCGGTGCCATCGTGAGGACGGAGCCCTCCCCTGTCCCTGCCTGATGTTCCCTGTGTCCGTGTTTGCCCCCGGGCAGGGGTGTCCCTGCGTGGTAATGCCCTGGGGGGCAAGGAGGCGCAGGGAGATCTGAAGGTTTCTCTTTTGGCTGGTTTTCGGGAGGGCTGGAGGTGGAGAGGCTGGATAATGGC